TAGTTCGAATTTATCAACCATGAGCTTTTTGCCGACTCGACCACGCCTCCAACACAATTAAGCGTTACGTGTCAACTGGTTATGCGCCATTGAGGTCATTGACTCCGATTTCAGCATGCTTTTCTTTTTGGATTTGCTCCCATAGCCTTTGTCCAACCAAGAACAATCTACAAGGCAGCAGTTGTTTAATTTTGGAGTTGTCTCTCCTAGAAGAGTGGCTGTCCCCAGCTAACGAGCCTCATCTGCCCGAGGGTTCGAACTCGAGACTTTTCGGTTTAGCAACCATGAGCTTTACCGACTCGACCACGCCGACCCCTTACTGTGACATATAATTTGACTGAATTAGAGGTTTAAATTAACTTTTAAAAATATATAAAATAATGTTTCCTTTATTAATTTTACGCACTATTATACGTTATACACATATTGCTTCTGTTCGTTCGGTGCGCAATTTTTTTTTCTATGCGATTCTATTAAATTTAAAAAAATGTAATATATGATGAAGTTTAGGGTAGATCCATCACGCTTTTTTTTCTTGTGCCTCTCGTTTCTGTCCTCCAAAAAGTGTTTTTAAATTTTACAACGGGTATGCAGCTAGTATATACTTAATATTGAATAAACTTATACTGACCTCTTTATTGTTTAGTACTTATATATTACTTAGTATTAAATAACCTGAGTACTGTTTCAAACAAAAGTAATAATACACAATAATAATGACGTCATCGATACTTGATAATGCAGACAACTAACATTACCGCCTACTTTGTCTAATCTTAAAAGTGGTTTGGTAGAGTTTCCTTCAGGAGGGGCGAACAACTTCACCCCACCCCCTCCCCCTCCACCCACCACCAGGCAGTTTACCAAGAACGATTTATAATTTAAAATGAAAGTGTATACTTTAACAGTAGCAACCCCCATCCCCAGAATTTAGACAACCGCCGCGAACATTGCAAATGCCTCCCTAACCATCCCCCCACCCCGAAGAAAAACAGTCTGGAAGAAACACTATCTTCATGATTGAGGTTTAGCTTTCAAAAGTAGGAAATGGGTCTAGATTATAGATAGCAATAAGACTCGTTTAGATTGAATTAAGAATTGTTTCAAATAAATGTGATAACGACCCCAAGATGTTCGATATAACTTCAAACCGTGTGAAAGTTATTTAACTTTTTAAATCCAATGGTACATGTTAGGTAACCCAGACAACAACAACATAAAGACTTTAAATGATAGTTGTATTGTCCACGTAGATGTTTTCATCTCCTTACATCCAAATATAATCTAACAATTTGATCCAGTTTCGGCTACCTATTGTGATAGAATTGTGTCATGTTTGGCAAACCCACCTACACCGTCTATCGAAACATATATATATATATATATATATATATATATATATATATATATATATATATATATATATATATATATATATGTATATATATATATATATATGTATATATATATATATAAAAATATATATATATACATTTTTTGTCTAAGTTCATTTATCCAAGTTATCATTTGTATTGATATATTTTGCCCTGAAATCTTTTATCTTTAACATCATTTGTCCTCAATATTATTTGTGCTTAGATATTTTGTCCTGAGATAATTTGTCTGGATTATTTTGTCTAGGTAATTTGTCCCAATATCAATTTTCATTTTTTCTCAAATCTTCACAAATAGGTGACATTATCTATCAAATGTTGAATATGTATATTGTAGTCTATTTTATGGCATCTATTATAGTTCAAAGTATTTATGACTTAATTAATATAAGAAAATGGGAGGAAAAATTGTTTAACTTCCCATCAATGTGACACTGTTAATGCTTGCATGAATTAAATAAAATACTTAAAAAAAACTTTTTAAAAAACCACGTTTTTCTTGTGGACTAAAAAGTAGAAAATAACTATTTACATACATTTGATGACAAAAAACGTGGGTACGTTCACCATCAAATTTCCCGACCCATCTGCCCGACCCACGTTTTTTGTCATCAAATGTATGTAAATAGTTATTTTCTACTTTTTAGTCCACAAGAAAAACGTGGTTTTTTAAAAAGTTTTTTTTAAGTATTTTATTTTCTCCTTTTTAGTCCGTTGCTACACATGAAAAACGTGGTTTTTAAAAAAGTTTTTTATATAGTTTATTTTCTACTTTATCTAATGACTTGATTAAGTATGAATTGACTAAGTGTTTATAAATACACGGACTAAAAAAATCTTGAGCGACCAGGATTCGAACCTGGGTTGTCGCGGCCACAACGCGAAGTACTAACCACTATACGATCACGGCCAGCGCGCTCACATCGATTGGGGCCGAAGTAACTGTGTCTATAAGCCTCCAGTCTTGTCGGTATCTTTAGAAATCATGTCCTCAATTTTATGGTCCTTGGGGCGTAATTAAATTAAGCTAATTACCGTCTCTAATTGCTAGTTTTTATGATTGCATCTGAAATTGTTAGGCGAAAGTAGCCTACATGCCAAATTTCAGATCTATTGAGCAATCAGAAGTGGGTTAATTTTCGATGTCAATTTTAACAACAAACACACGCGAAGCTGAGTTAATAAAAACGTGTTAAAATGAGAAAATGGCTATCTGGCATTGAATTTCAAATGGTAAACTCAGTTACATTTACGGAAAGACCCCATAAATCACAATCTGATTTCTTTACATAAATCAGCCAACATGAAGAAATTGACTACCATATTATCTGTTTACAATCAGAACATCTATATTGATAATTTTCAATTCAACATTTATAAAGAACTAGAGAATTACTTTAGAAAACGAAAGTAGTTGTCAAGCAAGTAACAGAAGTAACTATTGTCTTGATAATTTTAGCTTTTTTAGCAGACCTATATGATATATATATATATATATATATATATATATATATATATATATATATATATATATATATATATAATAAAAATATCCGTTTTCAACATAGGGACGTCTATTACCTGTCTTGTGAATTCTAAAAATAGAATCATTTTCTGAAATACCAAACTTAGAAGAATTAAATTATTCTAATTTATAAGAAAGTTTTTAATATCTTTTGTAGACATTACAGACATAGGAAGCTAGCCTGGTGAATTGTCCACTGGCACACACTCACACATATATTATATATATATATATACTAGCCGTCCCGGCCAGGCCCTGCTCTGGCTTCTGTGAAAAACCTTTCCGTTAAAGACCATTACCCCATGTGTTTATTAATCATCATAAACCCGGCATTGCCCACCCAAACCACAACCAACTAAAACCTAAACAACAAAACGCAAACATAACGCTATCACGATTACAAATACAAACGAAAACAGAAACCTAACAACAAACCCAACCACAACCAGAAACACCAATACAAACACAAAGAAAAAACAAAAAAAAAAGCAAACGAAAACAAACCAAATCCAAACGCAAAACCAACCACAAACACAAATACAAACACAAACCCAAAGAAAAAACGAAAACGAAAAAGAAAGAACAAAAACGAACCAAAACGCAACCACTAACGCAAACCCAACCTAAACACAAAGAAAACATTAACGCGTACATAAACGCAAAGTGCTCACAGTCTAGCCCGGGGCGGAATCGCCTGTTTCAGCTTAATAAACGACTATAGTACCCCAACTTATTCATAGTCTTTTGCACTCACTTAAACGAACGTAGGCGCCAAACCGAACACAGGAGGCCTGGGGCCCCAAATAGCAACCTGTCTGGGCACCAGAGGACGGCCGGATTCGATTCACTTAAATACTATAGTAACCTTTCTTATCCATACTCTATCGCACTGTTTAAAGCGAAATTATGCACCATAGCGCTCACAGAATAGCCCAGAGCGCCAAATTGAACCCTGGTGGGGCGCCGGCGGACGCGCCTGTTTCAATTTAATGAACAATTATAATACTCCAAGCTTAACCGTAAAAGACCTACAACATTTGCACTTGATCAATCCCCGCTAATTATGTAATTATTTTTTACCCAACAACAAAACAAAGTAATAAAAAGTAAATTCTTTTTCACTAATGCAATGTTTTATAAAGGGAAGTAATTGTGTTTTCCTAATTTATCAAAGGGAAGTAAGTGCTAAAAACTAAATATAAATAATTTTCAGACATAATTAGAATTTTTGTAAAAGATGATTTTTTTTTAAAATTGATTGTGTTTAATGAACATGCCGACAATTATTACTGCCAGTTTGAAAAATGAAAATCATTTCCTAACACTTTCAATAGTAATTTTTTAACTCATAAATTTAGAATATGAGCACTATAATTATCTAACACTTAAATCCATCGAAGTATGTCCACGACAAATAAAACTTATTACACGTTACATACAGAATTGAGCTTTATGTATATGTACACGTACACGTACAAGTTTATACATTCTACTATATTTTTTTCCATACACAAGGCGTATATATTTGTCATGAATACTTTTCCTAAATGTTTGTTTTACATATTTTCTTCCGAAATGTTTCTATAATTCTATCGTACTATAAATTTGTCCAATACATAGTCTTATATAATTTTTTATGCGCTGGTCATTTGCATTTGTCTTATAGGACTGTGTCTTATTTATTTGTTTATTTATTTATCCTCTATATTTGTTTATTATATATAGCCTAAATATTTGTATTTACATTTGTCCTATGTTAGTTTTAATATATATATTTCTCCTATATATTTGCTTTATATTATTTTTCTCTTCTATTAGTTGTGAATTCTAAAAATAAAATACTAGTTTTATTCATTTCAAAGATCACGATGAAAGTCGTGTACTAACGTTAAAGCTTAACGAACTTATAGCACCCTAGTGTGATGCCCCAATTACCAACAGTCTAGAATTTAATATGATCAGACACAAACCCCTACATGGCCTGTAAATATTATACTGCAATTTAAAACAAGGAATGATAATAAAATCACATACATAAGAAATAAAATTAATACTTGACGAAAACACTATCTATTACTCACCGAGTAAAATAATCCATGGAATAACAGGCGTTCTGGTGGGTAAAACTGGGTAGAACTTATTTTTAGAGTAGATTGTTGTAACCATATAGTGGTAATCACTTTGAAAAAGGAATAAAAAATTAAGTTTTAAGTTATTAGTTTTAATTTTTCTGAAAATACAGTGAAAAAACGTTATGAAAATACAAATCAACCTTTTTAAATCGTGCAAAGTAAATGATGTTATCGGAATAATAGAAAATAGTCTTCGTAATAAAAACAGTGTGTTAAAAATAGACACGAGTGTTACATTATTTACATTTATCTAATTCTTTATTCATTTTTATTCCGATTTGCATTGTTCATACTTATTTAGTTAAAACAACACTATATATGTTGATCATTGTATATATATATATATATATATATATATATATATATATATATATATATATATATATATATATATATTCATCAATGTATGTCTGCGGCTCGCAAACTAACTGGCTGACTGGCTTTGTCTTTATAGAAATAAAAAAAGCCTTAACAGATCGGGTTCATTTTACCACACTGGTGCATTATAACACTGTGGGTGTTTGCGCGTACTTTCTATCAAAATTCAGTGCAATTCAAAATTGTTTTCAATTTTCAAATATTTGTATTTGCCATAGGGCGACCTCATTTCCGCCATTATATTTTTGCATTTTTGGCAGTGCGTTCAGCATCTGTGCAATAAAGTATCCATGAAATTGTCTATCGAGAATGTTTAGATTTACTGCTTTAGTATTTATCCTTCTGAAAAAGAAATCGGGATAAAGATATAAAACTAACGAGGTTTCTGAATTGAAAACCGTGTATCGAAGGCCATATTTTTAAAAAATGCCTACTAATTCGTTGTCACTGCTAATTTATGTATCTTAGGTTCTTTGAATATAACTTTTAAAAATATTTTATGTTAATATTAAAAAGAAAATTTGTTTATCGATTATTAAATAAATATGAAAATGATTAATGTTAAGCTTGGTTATATTACGACGATCCTTGAGTTTATAGCAAATTTAGGATTTCAATGTATAGTACTTATACAAAATGAGTTTCCCTTCCTCCATCCACCCCCCCCTCTCCATGCCCCATCTATGATGAGTATCTGCAATTAAGGAAACTGCATGCAGCTGAGCATGGAAAAGACTATTCTATACTAACCCTTCGGGTCAATGGCATCATCGGAATTTACTTTTTATCTTTAATTTAAAAGCCGAACAACAATCGTTTACTACAGTAGTATAAATTAAGTGGGTTTAGTGTAACGATACGTTAACGTACATTATTTTATTGTTATCGAAGAGTTAGGGTCAGTTTGAATGGAAAAAGTTACATTGGGTAAGTATTTCAAAATTATTAAAGATAGTATTTGTTAATCAACTGATCCGTTAAGATATTTATGTTAAAATAATTGGAATGCAATTTGCGGCAGTTAAATCGCTTATGTTTGTCTTTATGTGGTTGTTTTTTAGACGCAGAAGTACGGAGAATGTAGAGAGTTTATATTTATATTTGTGTTTGAGGTTGAGGTAAGGGTTTGTTTATATGTATGCTCATGATTATTTTTATGTTAATGTTTATTACTGTTTGTGTTTATGTTCCTTTTTGTGTTTATGTTTGTGTTTGTGGTTGGTTGAGGTTGCAGTAAGTGTTAGAATTTACTTTTGCGTTTGTGGTTATGTCTGTGTCAATGCAGTTATTTTTTAGGCGAAGAAGTTCGTAGAGGAAAAAGAGTTTATGTTAATGTTTGTGATTGAGGATCTAGTTAGGGTTGGTCCATTTTTATGCGTATGTTTGTGTTTCTTTTGTGTTTATTTATATGCCTGTGGCCGAGGTTGAAAGTGAGGATAAAGGTTTATGTTTGTGTTTATGTTTGCTTTTCTGTTTTTATGTGATTATTTTTTACGTGTAGAAGTGCTGAGATGGGAGAGGGTTTATGATTGTGGTTGAGGTTGTGGTGATGGTTAGGGCTGATATTAATTTTTTTTGTTTGTGTTTAATTTAGCGTTTTTGTTTAAGTTTTTGTTTATGTTGTTTTTTTAGGCGTAGAAGAGCAGGGATTGTAGAGGTTTTATGTTTTTGGTTGAGGTTGTGGTAAGGGTTAGGGTTTATATTTATGTTTGTGTGTATATTTGTGTTTATATTTTCACTTACGTGTTTGGTTTTTTAACTCGTAAAACAGCATAGAGGGAAGAGTTTTACGTCTATGTCTATGCTCGCTTATTTTTATGTTTATGTTTTTATCTGTGGTTGTGGTTGGTTGTGGTTAGGGCTAGATTTAGAGCTAGGTTTAGGTTTATATATATATATATAAATTTTCTCAAATGTCGTTATTTTCAAATAGACATCATTAAATGGAAATTTAATCTATTCCCAATACCCGGGCAACGTCAGTTATATTATGTGTAATAAATACAGGTCACGGTCCGTTATAGATAAGTTTTTCACAAAACCCAGTGTAAAGCCTGGCCTGTATTCTATTACAACTTCGGAAATGTGTATTTGTTTTTGTTTTGTTTTGTTTTGTTTGTTTGTTTGTTTTTTTGGTTGTCGGTTCCGCTTGATCAGAGCATATACAAAAATATTGTCTATGTCCCGAGTTGCCATCCACGGTATGTTATATAAAATATTCGAGAAAGTTTAGGCCAGATCACTCTCGGTTTATGCTTTTTACTCTTTATATTAATTCTATGGGAATAAATTAGCTTGGAAAATAAATACCACCACCCGCTGATCACTGGATTCTTTACAAACCAAGTGCTTGCGAAGGATCACAGGCATCAACGGGCCTAACACCATCTCAAAAGATAAACTAATAGGAGGGATAGAAATGGTAGAAGTTTCTGGAAAAATCGAAAAAAGGAGATGGCGCTTGATGCGGCACGTCCTAAGAATAAATCAAGATGAAATAACAGGAATGGTGCTAAACTGAACGCCTCGTTGAAAAAGAAAGCAGAAAAAGCCAATGGTAGATGTGGAGGATTTAGCTGGAAGAGGCTGGACTGTCATGGGGACTACCAGGAAAATTGCTGGAGACCGACTAAAGAGGAGTAATCTTTCTGTGGCGGCCCGATGTGTCTTCGGCACCAGAAAGGAAAAGAGGGTGATATAATGCACTCAAATAAAATGGTTTTCTATTGATATAGAGTTTATAAACTTCCGTTTTTCAGTTAGGTTGACGTGTAAATAGACGCTATACGTTGAGTAATTTCCGGTAACCGGATATCGTAATTTATTTCCGATTTATAAGATTGTTTTTCATCTTATCATCACAAAGCAGAATATTTGGTTTGTATATCAAAATTCAACAGCATGGTTTCACTGGAAGTGTCATCTCAACACTTATGTAATACACAAATTTACCAGAACTCACTCCAACTTTAAAATGTAGTCGTATATTAAAAACGACAAGAAACTTCAAAGAATGACTAGACGTGTATTTCATTATATGCCAGATATAGATAGTTTTATAGGTAAACATACACACAAATACATATATTTTTTTCATATGATACGGTAGGTAGGTAGGTATGTAAGTGGATAGGTAGTTAGGTAGGTAGGTAGGTAGGTAGTTAGGTTGGTAGGTAGTTAGGTAGGTAGGTAGGTAGGTAGGTAGGTAGGTAGGTAGGTAGGTAGGTAGGTAGGTAGGTAGGTAGGTAGGTAGGTAGGTAGGTAGGTAGGTAGGTAGGCAGGCAGGCAGGCAGGCAGGCAGGCAGGCAGGCAGGCAGGCAGGCAGGCAGGCAGGCAGGCAGGCAGGCAGGCAGGCAGGCAGGCAGGAAGGCAGGCAGGCAGGCAGGCAGTCAGGCAGTCAGTCAGGCAGGCAGGCAGGCAGGCAGGTAGGTAGGTAGGTAGGTAGGTAATTAGGTAGGTAGGTAGGTAGGTAGGTAGGTAGGTAGGTAGGTAGGTAGGTAGGTAGGTAGGTAGGTAGGTAGGTAGGTAGGTAGGTAGGTAGGTAGGTAGGTAGGTAGGTAGGTAGGTAGGTAGGTAGGTAGGTAGGTAGGTAGGTAGGTAGGTAGGTAGGTAGGTAGGTAGGTAGGTAGGTAGGTAGGTAGGTAGGTAGGTAGGTAGGTAGGTAGGTAGGTAGGTAGGTAGGTAGGTAGGTAGGTAGGTAGGTAGGTAGGTAGGTAGGTAGGTAGGTAGGTAGGTAGGTAGGTAGGTAGGCAGGCAGACAGGTACGCAGGTAGGCAGGTAGGTAGGTAGGTGCGTCATGATGAAAAAAAGATTAAATATATTCTTATGGTGTGTGTTTTTTTAGGGTATTTTGGTGCGAATAAATGTTGGTGCGAGAGATATAACGAATGCAAGTTTGATGACGCGGAACAGGTTGTTATGGTATGCAAGCTAGGGCGTTCGGACTTGGTATAATGTGAACGATACTCCGTGTAATGCCGATATCAAGGATAGCTTTATATTTATTTAAACTAGAATATTAGTAAAATAAAAATCGAAAAAGAAAATAATAGGCATTATGTCAAGCGATTATCGCCTGTATCGTTGTGATGTAAATGCTCATGGTAGTGGTATTCTTGGTATAAATGGTAGTAGATTGCGTCAGGTCAAATGCGGCCCTCTCACAACAGCCCTAACAATCATGTATACAGGTGTCATGTAGACCATATAGGGCTTTTTGCTAAAATTTATCTTTGCGCATTTTTCAGTGTGCGCAAATTTATGTTTGCGCTTTTTCTGTGTGCGCATTTTTCTGTTTGTGCTTTTTCCGTTGCGCGTCCTTCTGGTCACCCACAACAATAAACACTTTTCTGGTTGGTTAATTAAAAATGTGTTTCTACATTCGACGAGTTTGCCTTTATTTTTATTTTCTTTCTTAGAATAAAATTTAGTTTATACATTTAAAACGTCTAACATATTATTTTCAATAAAAGTCAGTATCTCTAAATTCTCCATATATCACTGAAAATACTGCTCTCATAGGCTCGTGACATGCGGAAAAGAGAGAGAGAGAAGTGTGGACTTGGGCTTTTATATAGTAGGATTGTTTACCGTTCATTTGATGCGCAATTATTTTATTTTAAAAATTGGTTTAAAATTGTTTCTATATCTATGCCGAGTTTCCATCCCCCGTTGTGTTAAGGGGATATGCTATGTTTTTTTTCTATTTTTTACAGTTTAAGATCTAAAGCCTTTTGAATACTTTTATCATATTTGGCATATAAAAGTATGTATTAAACAGCAAAACAAAAAATGGGTCGAAAACGATTTTGGTTGTCATGGAAACCAAAAAAACCTCCGCCATTTTAAATTTTTCGGTACTTTTAAAAATACTAAGGCTTTTTTATTGATGCACCTATAGCAATCAAATTTAAACTGCTTATATTTCAGTATATATTAAAACTTTTATCACGACAACTTTTTAAAATAATTACTAGTAAGAATTTTACAAGGTCTAAAAATCGTACCCTTTTTAGTATTTAATAGTTTCAAAATGTGCATATTAATTACCAAATACTTTTTTTCTATGAAAGCAATCACTATTCCCTCATGACAAAAGTTGTATTGTCGCATCAAAAACATTTACTGAAAATATGGTTGGCATTGTTTAATAAATAAAAAAGTAGTAGGCTTTTTAGTGTTAAAACCTGCGAACTGAGAAAAACAGCCAAAAGTAACGAAAACTAGGTCAGGAAAGTACCATATGTGTGTAAACTGCAAAACCGATTGTAAGCTTTGGGTGTATTCGAGATGATGGAAATTAAGATTGTCAAATACATGAGAAATCCAGCTTTCCAATGATGCCAAATACAATATGATGACGGATATAAAACTTTTCATAGAGAGCTTGTAAGATTGGAAAAAATTGATTATTTTTTAATTAATAGGGTCATAAAAATCTTAATTCAAACACATAAAATATTTTTTTCTCTTTAAAGTTATTATTTTCTATATACAAAAATGGACAAAGTATCCAAAAGTGCAAGAAACCCATCATGACGAAAAAACAAGATTTTTTTTTATTTTTTCCGCGCATATCCCCTTAAATAAGAATATTCGAGAAAGGTTAGGGGAGATCACTCCTGCTTTTTTATTTAATTGCTAATAATTCCAGTTGATGTGTTTTTTATAAGGGGTTACAATCCAGTTAAAAAATATACTTGGATTAAATTCATGGCATTGCCTCCCTTATATTTGCTTTCAAATAAAGCATATATAACATTATGCCGTTATAATATCAAGCTCTGTAAAGGCGTACCTAACAAAAAAATAATTTTTTAAAATGCCTTCATACTTAAGACAATAGCTGCGACAAGACGTTCTATGATCGACCACTATTTAACTTCTATATTTTAAGTTGTCTTTTTTGTTATATATTTTCTGGATGTATTTTTAAGGTTACTATTATTATGGATCTATCTGTTTTATTCTCAAAATGTTCCTATGTTGGACAAGTATAAGTATAATATTATGTCAACAATAAAGTTTTGAAACATTCAGTAACCCACATCATTCTTTCCATTCTGATCTATCTTAATCAAGACGACATCACACTCAAATAAGAATGTTTGCTTTAAGCCCGATCAATAGATTGCAATCCATGAATTCAAAACAACAATTATTTAACATCTAACTCGGCTCTGAGATTTAGAACCTGCAGTTTATCGTATTGATGTAGTAACTTTTACTTAAATATTAATACCAGTTGAATTATTGAATAATTGTTTTTAATTTTGCTAACTGAAATGTTTTAAATAGAATAATGATGTAAGATGTTTACCATAATGTAAAATATATGCTGAAGCAACATAAAATGATCAATTTCAAAACACTAAATTTAAAAGTAAAAAGAATTTACGTTCAATGGTATATAAAAAGTGAGAAGACAAAAATGGAATTAAACAAAACCCAAATAAGAGAACAGCTGTAAAAAATATTTTCGTAAATAAAAATTGTTGAATGAAATAAACTAACCATTCTTAATTAATAACAAGCTTATATAATGTAAAAATATGTTTTCGAATATATATATATATATATATATATATATATATATATATATATATATATATATATATATATATATGTATATATATATATATATATATATATGTGTGTGTGTGTGTGTGTGCGTGCGTGTTCGTGTGTGTATTGGTCTATGTAAGTAAATTTATTTATTTTCAATTTATTTTGGCTGTAGTATATATAATTACTAAAATAAAAGTAGGAGTGATCTCCCCTAAAGTATCTCGAAAATTCTTTGATAACACTAATGGGGATAGCAACTTCAGTGATATCGGGATATAGACATGTTTTGAATCAATTTTGTTTATTTAAAAAAAAATTCTGACGTGACTAGATATAAACGAAACGACCGACCACGAAAAGCCTCCCTAACAGTTTGAATAGGAGTGTCTCTGTACGCCTCAGCGCTGTAACGTTGAGGAAGTGAATGCTTCAGTCAATCCGTATTGTGACGTGTTTCTTAAGCCGGTTTTTACACGTCCTATCTTTAAGCACTTCGTACTTAGGGCTAGAAATGTAATCCCATTTTGTTGTCTATGCCTATACGTGGCAATAGAAAACGGTTGAATTGCTCTAGTCAATCTACATAGAAACTTTATATATGTAAGTTTTTGTAAACTTGAATTAAGATTGCAAAAGCTAGCAATATCCTAAAGTGTGTGTACGTGTACGTGTACGTGTACGTGTACGTGTACGTGTACGTGTACGTGTACGTGTACGTGTACGTGTACGTGTACGTGTACGTGTACGTGTACGTGAACGTGTACGCGTACGTGTTCGTGTACGTGTACGTGTAAGTTTTTGTGTCTTTGTGTATGTGTACGTGTACGTGTACGTGTACGTGTACGTGTACGTGTACGTGTACGTGTACGTGTACGTGTACGTGTACGTGTACGTGTACGTGTACGTGTACGTGTACGTGTACGTGTACGTGTACGTGTACGTGTACGTGTACGTGTACGTGTACGTGTACGTGTACGTGTACGTGTACGTGTACGTGTACGTGTACGTGTACGTGTACGTGTACGTGTAAGTTTTTGTGTCTTTGTGTATGTGTACGTGTACGTGTACGTGTAAGTTTTTGTGTCTTTGTGTATGTGTATGTGTCTTTGTGTATGTGTCTTTGTGTAAGTGTCTTTGTGTACGTGTACGTGTACGTGTACGTGTACGTGTACGTGTAAGTTTTTGTGTCTTTGTGTATGTGTACGTGTACGTGTACGTGTAAGTTTTTGTGTCTTTGTGTATGTGTATGTGTCTTTGTGTATGTGTCTTTGTGTAAGTGTCTTTGTGTATGTGTATGTGTGTGCATTGTTTAATTATATATACGTATTTATGTTTTATATGATATATATATATATATATATATATATATATATATGTATATATACAGAGGCGTAGCGGGGGGGGGGGGGGGGGGGGGGCGGACCGCACCGGGTGACACCCTTAAGGGGGTTGACAACAAGGCAAAAAAATAGCAAAATATATAGAGAAAAACTTGAGGGGGGGGGTGAAAATCGAAAGTGTGAGGGGGTGCAAATTGAAAGTTTGATGGGGGTGCAAATCGAAAATTTGAAAGATTGTCCCCGGGAAGGGTCGATACGCCTCTGGGGGGTGACACCATTTAGTGCCGCACCGGGTGACAACCGACCTCGCTACACTACTGTATATATATATATATATATATATATATATATATATATATATATATATATATATATATATATATATATATATATATATACAAAATGTGTATTAATATATATATATATATATATATATATATATATATATATATATATATATATATATATATATATATATATATATATATATATATTTATATATATATATATATATTTATTTATTTATTTATTTATTTATTTATTTATATATATATATATATATATATATATATATATATATATATATATACAAAATATGTATTAATTAAATGTGTATGTAATAAGATTTCTATTTAGATGTTAATTTCAGCTTACCTTCTTCCCATGAAGTACGCTGTAGATTGCTCCAAGTTGCATTTGCCGACGCTATATGACCGTGACATTTGAAAAGAATCATATTACTTTGTTTGCCGGCATTCAACCGTTAAAAGTCTTAATACAACCTCAGTTGAGATTGTATGAAGCGGAATAGCTCCTACAATTTAGGCACACTTGGGTGTGGAGGTTTACTGCGTTATAAATTCCTGGTTCATTTTATAACTCTCATACACCTCCGTCTTTAAACATAGCATTTTATAGAAATAACTAGCAGTCGGTACCTGTTACACATGAATTATAGGCCTATATATTTTAATGTTAAACATGTTTGAGAATAAAAATGTATAAAATAATTATTGGTCAAAACTCAATGTTCTTTATTACACGTTGAACAATATTAGTGACAAAGAAAAGAAATTTATTTCTCAGCTGGAGAATCTATCTATATACTACTAAAAGTCAACTTTGTTTACATGTTTGAATATTTATTTGTTTGCCTGATCGACTATTGTGATATGTTCGACTCTATCTGGAGAGCTGTAAAATAGTATGTAGGTAGAGAATAATTGTTTAATGCAGACAGACTGTTAATCACACATTTATTTAAAGACGTTAATTAATTTATTGATTTATTCATAGTTAAATTAACCGTATTTTTTTAAAAATGTTAATACTTTGAATAAACTTTGTGGGGATAGTGACGTCCCTTGATGTGTTTACATTTTTGGTACAATAAAAATGGCGGACCCCATCATAGACTTTGTGGCCCATTCAAAAGTTTCACGCGTTACAAAGCTAATTTTCTGCCGGCTATAACTTAAACAATACGTCCGTTTGCTGTATTTATTACGTTCCAACACTTATATCAATTTTAAACTGTCTTTTTTCATTTAGTTTTACAATAAATTTCTCTAGATCTAAAGATCAGCTGTCGAAGAAAAGTTATTTATAGATCTAGATCTAGATCTAGAATCTAGGTCAAATCAAATCTAATTTTCTGTCGGTCATAACTTTAACAATACGTCCGTTTGCTGTATTTATTACGTTCCAACACTTATATCAATTTTCAACTGTCTTTTTTCATTTAGTTTTACAATAAATTTCTCTAGATCTACAATCTGTCCAAGAAAGTTATTTATTTATAGATCTAGATCTAGAATCTAGAATCTAAATCTAGATCTAGGTCAAATCAAAAATTTATTAGTTATAGATCTTAATACAAACCAAAAAAGAAACGAGACTTAAGCAAACCAGTCGTAGATCTAGAATATAGATAATTCTATCTAGATTTAGATATTAATGAGTTTCTATATACTAAAATATTTTAGACCTTTATTATTTTGTATAAATCTTTGTTTCGACTATGCAAATTTTGAAGTGCTGGCTCCAGGGCGTATTTGCGCAGCTTAAGATTCATACGCTGCTTCTATACCGGAATTTTGCTAAATTATAAACGTAAATTCTAAATATAGCTCAGTCGTAGATCTAAAATATAGATAATTCTATCTAGATTTAGATAATAGTGATTTTCTATATACTAAACTATTTTAGACCTTTATTATTTTATATAAATCTTTGTTTGGAATATGGTAATTTTGAAATGCTCGCTCCGGGCCTATCAGCGTAGCTAATGATTAGATCTAGATCTAGATTCTAGATCTAGCAAGAAAAACTAAACTTAAGACCTAAGCAAGCGAGTCGTAGAATATAGATCTAGATCTAGATAGAATTGTCTAGATCTAGCTAATTTCAGAACTTCTTTATTTTATATAAATCTTTGTTTGGCTAATTTAAGATTAAATTTAATTTGAAAGTTACTACTACTAGCCTAATATCTAGATCTATGCGCGGAGACTCAAAAGTATAGTATAAAAATTCATCCACGAGTAAATAGCTAAGTTGGTAGCGTAGCCCGCTCTCATGTGGGTGGCACAGGTTCTAGACCAATATGTCAATGATATTTTTTTTCAATTTTTTTTTTTAGATGTGAATGATAAAGTTGCCTATCTGAACTTGCCAGGATACAGGGCAGGTGAAGTAGAGTTCATCTGTTTCTTTGTCCTAAGCATATGAAAGGATAGTGTGGTCAGAGACATGCTCGGCTGGAATCGTTTTTTAAACGATAGAAACATGTTGTCTGAGACTTGGCGGGACACTGGGCAGGTGAAGTAGAGTTGAGTAGGTCACATGTGACGTCAGTATATGAAGGGATAGTCCGAAATCGGTGTTTTCGGTGTTTTTAAAAGATAAGAAACATATTTTTGAATGTGGGGGTCTGTTTTTTGTGACGATAAGTGACACTGCAGTAGCGTAGCGAGGAGGGGGGGGGGGCGGGAGGGGAGGCGGGGGGGGGGGGGGAAGGGGAGGCGGGGGGAGGTGGAGGGGGGAAGGGGGGGGCGGGGGGGACATATGTTGGGGCGCCAAAATGGTTTGGAAAAATAAATTGAAAGGTTGAGGGGGGTTCAAATCGAAAGTTTGAGTGGGGGGGGGGGGGGTGCACATCAAAAGTTTGAGGGGGGGGGGGTTGAAAATCGAAATCTTGGGGGGGGGGGTTAAAATCGAAAAGTTTGTCCCCGGGCGCCGGGAAGGCTCGCTATGCCTCTGAGTGACAGACGTGATGTTTTTTGATGGATGACCCCCGAAACCCACAGTTATCCAACGGATGACGGGTATTCTAGTATACTACTAAAACTCAAGTTTGTTTACATGTTTGAATATTTATTTTTTTGTTTAGCTGATTGACTAGTGTGAATACTTCTATTCATCGTGGACAGCTGTAAAATAGTATGTAGGTAGAGAAAAAAATTTGTTTTAAGACAGACTGATAATCACACATTTATTTAAAGACGTGTATTAATTTATTGATATATTCATAGGTAGAATAACCACAATTTTTTTAAAAGATTTGAAAAGCCACTAAACTCGACGGAAACAGTGACGTCACATGATGTGTTTATTTTAATGGCGGCCTATCGAAGAAGATTGTGTTCCCATTCCAATGTTTAACGCGTTCTAAAGCTAATTTTCTGTCGGCTTTAACTTTAACAATACGTCCGTTTGCTGTATTTATTAAGTTCCAACACTTATATCAATTTTCAACTGTCTTTTTCATTTAGTTTTACGATAAATTTCTCTAGATCTACAATCTGTCCAAGAAAGTTATTTATAGATCTAGATCTAGAATCTAGAATCTAAATCTAGGTCAAATCAAAGATTTATTAGTTATAGATCTAAATACAAACAAAAAAAGAAACGAGATTTAAGCAAACCAGTCGTAGATCTAGAATATAGATAATTCTATCTAGATTTAGATAATAATGAGTTTCTATATACTAAAATATTTTAGACCTTTATTATTTTGTATAAATCTTTGTTTCGACTATGCAAATTTTGAAGTGCTGGTTCCAAGGCGTATTTGCATAGCTTAAGATTCATACGCTGCTTCGATACCGGTAATTTTGCTAAATTATAAACGTAAATTCTAAATATAGCTCAGTCGTAGATCTAAAATATAGATAATTTTCTATCTAGATTTAGTTAACAATGATTTTCTATATACTAAACTATTTAAGACCTTTATTATTTTATATAAATCTTTGTTTGGAATATGGTAATTTTGAAATGCTCGCTCCGGGCCTATTAGCGTAGCTAATGATTAGATCTAGATCTAGATTCTAGATCTAGCAAGAAAAACTAAAATTAAGACTTAAGCAAGCGAGTCGTAGAATCTAGATCTAGATAATTCTATCTAGATCTAGATAATTTCAGACCTTCTTTATTTTATATAAATCTTTGTTTGGCTAATTTAAGATAAAATTTAATTTGAAAGTCACTGCTACTAGACTTAGTTCTAGATCTATGCGCGTAAATCAAGTTGCATAAGGAGACTCAAAGTATAGTATAAAAATTCACTTGTGACGTCACGAGTAAATAGCTAAGTTGGTAGTGTAGACGGCTCTCATGCGGGTGGCACAAGTTTTAGACCAATATGTCAATGAAATTTTTTTCAATTTTTTTTTGAGATGTGAATGATAAAGTTGCCTATCTGAACTTGGCAGGATACAGCGCAGGTGAAGTAGAGTTCATCTGTTTTTTTGTCTTAAGCATATGAAAAGATAGTGTGGTCAGAGACATGCTCGGCTGGAATCGTTTTTTAAACGATAAAAACATGTTGTCTGACACTTGGCGGAACACTGGGCAGGTGAAGAAGAGTTGAGTAGGTCACCTGTGACGTCAGTATATTAAGGGATAGTCCGAAATCGGTGTTTTCGGTGTTTTTAAAAGATAAAAAACATATTTTTGAATGTGGGGTCTGTTTTTTGTGACGATAAGTGACACTGCAGTAGCGTAGCGAGGAGGGGGGGGACATATGTCCCCGGGCGCCGACCTTAGGGGGCGCCAAAATGGGTTGGAAAAATAAATTGAAAGGTTGAGGGGGGTGCAAATCGAAAGTTTGAGTGGGGGGGGGGGGGGGGTTCAAATCGAAAAGTTTGTCCCCGGGCCTCTGAGTGACAGACGTGATGTTTTTTATGGATGAACCCGAAACCCACAGTTATCCAACGGATGACGGGTAGTCTAGTACTATTTAAACATTGCACTAAGTAAACGACTTTATATTGATTCTAGCTAAACTAACATTAAATGCAATTTTTTTAAAACCTAGATGTCTATTCGCTTACATGTTGCTTACAAACGTTTGTTTTCAGAAACTAAAATTTAATATATTTATTAATATGTGCGTACCCTTGTATTTGTGTATTTTGGTGTCTGTGTGTATGTATATCTGGGTCCGTGTGTTGGTATGTGTGTCTGTCTTTCTTTCTTTGTGTCTGTCTGCGTATACGTCTATGTGTCTATATACGAATAAAAGTTGAATCCACTAATCGCAAAAAAGCTGGTAGATTTATTACAGCACTTAAACACTTAAAGAAATCTCGTATTCACATAGGTTTACGTCATGGAATAAAACCATAACCTTCTACTCCAAATGTTGTTCCTGTTGACTATCTTTTTTTAATTTAACCATCTTTGCAACTTGTATTTTTCACTTCAAATCAGTAGCGTAGCGAGGGGGGGGGGGGCGGGGGGGGGGGGCATATGTCCCCGGGCGCCGACCTTAGGGGGCGCCAAAATGGGTTGGAAA